CACCCCGGTAACAAGCCCTTTCTCCGCCATGCTCGCGCCATCCAATCCCCGAGAGCCGACAGGGGATCCAGGCAAGCTTCGGTTGTCTCGGTTGCAAAGATATCTTCGGAGTAGCATTGACGGAGGCGCTAATTATTAGCCCTGAGAACCAAGTACGGAGTAGAGAGCAATTGCAATATCAAATTACCACGACTAGCCTGAAAAGAGACTTTTGCATAATTCCGGAAGCGAGACTGAGAGCAAGAGTGTTGGAAGCTTGTAAAGCAACGCGGAGGCTGTAACATTTCAAGCCTCTGAAAGGCTCCATATCCATTGGGCATCGTCATGCGTTGATACATAGAACGTTGGGCGATTTGTATTATGCCATACAAGACATATGTTTAGGTATAGTAATTTCTATAGCGTCAATCATAAGGCTAGAACAATCTCGGTGCTTAGTAAGATTTAGGCCTGTAGTACCTGCAGACGTCAGGTAAAGTGCAATGCAACGGGGATCAATAATGACAGACTTTAAATGTTAACCTCTCGATACTTTTACCTCCCACCAAGTACTTACTAGTGAAACCATGCGGTGTCCGCCATGTGCTTCCTTATCCACTTTGACTTTGTTTGGAATAGATCTCACCAACAAGCATGCGAACATGGTAGGTAGAGCCGTTGAAAACTATGGGGAAAAGATATTGCCAGTAACAGCTTGTCAGAGTTTGACAAACTCGAAGAAAGTGGTTAGACAAATGTGGCCATCCTATAGCAGGTTGTATATTTGTTTCGCATCCAAAATCATCCTATTCCGTGCCGTGTGAGACCCCTGCCGGCTCTCTGACTGCTTGCCGTACTGAACCAGGGCTAGAGGCGATCGATTGTCTCCGGACGATTTGGCAGCCAGACTTTGAAAACTCCAGGGAGAGTCAACGGCGATCCTTCGAGAATGTCAAAATGACATCGTGCACGATCATGTGGACCGAGCGTTGGTATGACTTTGAATCTACTTCAAAACTATGATAGTGCTGATTGACGCAGTGATAGCTTAGCCTCTCAAGACCAGGGTGCCGCCCAAGGATTTATTTGTAGAATGATGCTTAGGAGGTGTCATTATTTGACGATAATTTGATGTCTGGTCGCAAGCTGTCGGATATTACGGATCGCGATGAAGAAAGATGCTGACTCGGGAATTTATTTTTGATGTCGCTGGGTTGCGTGGTTTATTGCTCGCTTGTAGAATATCTCCGACACCCCTCAAATCATTGCCGACTCTCAAATTGTTATGGGCCTGTTACTGCATTAGGTGTGGGAAATCCCGGACAATAGTAGAATCCCGCTGTCAATATAAGACCTGTTCCCCAAGACTCATGTGAAGGGCATTCTGACTGTGCGCGAATCATTTGGAGGAATATCGACGCGTTCTCTCCAGCTCGATCCTCGAACCGTAACTTTCCAAGACGTGTCCGTACAGCTTTGCATGAGTCCCCCGATGATTTGGAACCATTGGTGATGGTGACGGTAATACTGCGGAATCTGAGAGACTGCTCCCTCTAATCACGGTTGTCTGGCAACTTTGGGCCCAAGAAACATGGAAATGAAAACCGAATACCGAGACCGGTCCGGTAAAAAGAAGTATTCGAGTTTGGAAAATACCGTACTGAAATTCTGGACTATTGATGCATTAATCCAAGAGCAGTTTTCCCAGCAAGGTCGCCATATGCCATGAACCGACAAGAACCCGCGGAGATTCAAGGACTTTAGTGCCATGTTGGGGTTGTAAAGAAGGTATTTTTTGAGAGCGACTTGGTGATTAGTCTGCGATTTTTAATGGTGCGGGGTCCATCTTGGGGGAAGGAGGGGGGATCTTTTGTTATTTAATTACGACAGGCTCCTGGAAGGAAATAAACCAAGATGTTGAAGCAGTGAGAGCGCAGCAGATCGAACTAGCGTCGCGCGTTTATCAGTGGAGTTTTCCTTTTCTTCCCGTAGAGATAGTAGAATATTTTTGAAAGCAGGGCAAGTACGGAGATCAATGAGGTAGTGTCTGCTGCGAACAGCACTCAAGTACTCGGTAGAGTCGTTCTCACTCTCATTCTCTGAACCATGTCCAATGCGCACGGTTGGTACCAGCGAGCGTAATAATCTGCATCTGCATGGCAAGGCAGGGCACTTCCGGATTTGGGGGGCACAGAAGCTGATGTTGCACCTCAACCACATTTGCTCTACGGAACGTTGGCAGGCTGCCGCGGCCAAAATAGGCTCAACAGATATCTCATGAGTCTCGTCTGGCGGATAAGTGACCTGGGTCATGATGTTGGAATTGAGGCACAAAAATGGGGGATCCTCCAAGCTCCATCATCCGGTAGCGTTGAGATGCTGGTGGATCACAGGTGCAGACAGGCACCGAGCAAGAAGGAAAGCTGTGGATTGAGGTTGGCGCGTTCATGGGTGTGAGTAGCACGAAGTAGAAGTACTCGTACTTCGAAGTACTAGCCGGTCTGGTCATGGAAGTGAGCAAAGTCTTGGAAAATTGGAAGGGTGTTGGATGAGGAAGGCTTGAGAAGTTGAGCCTTGATGAGCGGCCAGGGAGGAAGGGAGGGGAGGGCGCACGGCGAGCAGTTGGGACGAAATGCATCTGGGGTCTGTCAGAGACGTGTGAAGCTGGCAATGCGGAGGAGGGGGAGCTCCATGAAAGGGAAGGGCCTCATGGATCTCAGGCCAGGGAGCGCGCGTGGAAGGAGGTGGTGCCGTGGTGGTGGAGGGGGAGGGGGAGCTGGTGGTGGTTGAAGAATGTGGTGATGTAGATTCGTGGTGTTGTGTTGTGTTGTGTTGCTGAGCCTGTTCCAAGGTTCGCTACTACTCGCTCGAGGTCTGTACAAGTGAGGTCCTCCGTACGGAGGTACAGTAGGTGGTACAGCAGACTAGCAGTACTCACTCACCGCGCGCGCGCACGCCGTACCAAGCATTTCTTCTCGAACCCCTGGCCTAGTCGTGGTGCGGTTCTCTCCGTCTCAATCTCGATTGATGCCCCAGACCCAGAGCCAGACTGCAGACTGCCAGACTATCTCCGTACTACGGTACTACGAAGTACACCATCGTAGGCTTGTGCAGGTGTAGTGTAGACTGTGTAGTCTTGCACAGGTAGGCGAGACGGGCTCACTGCTCTGCCCTCACTCACGTCACGGCTTCACCAGGCTTCGTCTACTCGAGTAACCTCCACCACTACTTCTACAACCACCCGCACACGCACCTACATCTACGCCATCGCCAACTCCAACGAGCAACTCTTGCCAGCCCAGCCTCGAGCCAGCCCCTTCCTCGACGGTACCAGTACCTCTTCACCCACCATCCACCACCCACCGTCCACCGTCCATTTATCCAGTCCATCGGCCATCCATCCATTCATCCATCCCTCCATCACTCCATCCATCCCTCCCATCAGCCCAGTCCAGCCCAGCGCGCCCAGGGAGACTCGACAAGGAACCTCACCCGGATGCCAACTCTGGCTCGTCTCCAGACTTGAGCACCGATGCAGCACACCGTTGCTGCACCGCTGAAGCAGCTTTTCCACCAAGACCCAGGACCCTCCTCACCCCCAGGGCCTCTCGTCCCCCCGGCGCGCTCCTTTCCCCTGGCAGCTGGCAGCCTTTACCAGACTCAGAGGGCCTTCATATTACTCCTAACCCGTTCAGGGCAGCGGGACTAGGTAAGCTCGTCGCTGGATGCCTGCCCGGTGTGATAATGTGGTGGTGATGCGCGTGTCCTCAGATGCAGAGCATGAGCGAAGCGGTGGGTTCATGGACAATGAGCCGTCTGGGCCTCCACGAAACGGCTGGATTAGGCGAAAAGCGTTGGCTTGATATCAGAGCGGGAGCGGGTACGGAAAGCAGTTCATCGTCACCAGCCGAAGCTATAGAAAAACTATAGAAGCGGTGCTATAAGATCAACAACCTCATCCTGGCGCTTCTCCGGCAGCGTCACCGACGTGGTGCCCATTTTTTTGCCTTCCCCTCCCTGTCGCTTCAGAGTTTGCACCACACGACACCTGGTTCATGGCGTCTGAGCTTACTATAGCCTCCCTGGAGCTTAATGGACGATGCGATGACCTCGCCTCGCCTGCGTTCGTCGGCACTTTTCGCGCTGTCTGCCGTTTGGCTGGTCCCTGTTGAGCGTGCATGCCACTGGACAGTCCGGCTATGCCCAATCGGGGCCTTTACGGTTGGTTGACAGTTCCTGCTCGTAATGATGCGAGCCTCGCCGAGCCTCGACGCTGCTCAGTGAGCAATGTTTGGGCTCGACAAGCGTCCAGCGTCTGCGTGGAGAAGCATGAGGGGAGCAAGAGGAAGACGTGACGGTGTTGGGGGAGGCGGCGAGCAGAGAGCAGAGCATTCATCATGATGGCTGCGTGATCAGATGGGGTATATATTACCTACCTGGTCTGGGCTGCTGCACAGATAGGTACAGTAGGCACAGTAATAGAGTACCCCTCTATACGCCGTACCTAGCAGTTCTACCTATCGATCCTATAGACCCATTCAGCACGTTTTTCGAGTGGTCCCACTGGCCCGTCCCCATCCCTCTTCTTCTCGTCTTCGTTTCTTGCTCAAGATGTCAAGTCTCTCCGATCCGGACTCCATATTTCGTACTGCCATTTAATTTCCTCTGCTACTCGAGTACCCATAGCCAATGCCCCTTTTTTGCCAGCTTCCCCTACCTCGATTTCACAAGCCTGCGTAGATCATCACATTGGCAAGGTCTTTTCTCCGAATCCACAGCCAGCACGTCCCCAAGTCTCGTCTCCTCATTTCCTTTCTGTTTGCCGCAAACGCTGGCATATAGCCCACACCAGATAGACCGCATCCTATAGCAGCTAGGTTTAAGCACACACATCTTCTTCCTAGCACCATCTTAAAGTAGCAGCTTGTCCAGAAATCCTTCCATATCTGGTATTGCATAGTAGACAAACCCTGGCCTTGAGACTTCTACAAGTGGTTCTTGACCCTCACCCTACCCTCGTCCTCAGCCTTCTGTTCTGGCATTGGAACTAGCTCCCCTGCCCTGCCCTTTCCACCTCCCCTACCTCGCTCCTCTCCCATCGTCTCGAAGAGTCAGCATCCTGGGAACCCTGAGGAAGCTGCTTAAACTTAATCCCCCTCCCGAGTACATTACATACTCTGTACATACTCTACCCAGTTACCTGCTTGCTACCTGCTCCGACATCCATCCATCGAAAGCTGCAACCGCCCTTCCAAGATCCTTCCACATACATACCCTTTCCAGTCCTCGACATATACTTGCTCCCTCCTGCGACAACGACAGTTCCCAAATTCTAGCAATTGATCGCCCAACTCCCCGTCTCAACGCACAGCGGATACCACTGTACCGGGAAAGCCAATCATCACCAAGTACCATCTTGCTACATTACACTCGTTTATCCTGGCCAACGACTGTAGCCTTTTCCCAATCCGTATCTTGCTATTCTCTTTCGACCTTCTGCAGAAGATCCAGCTCGATTCAGCGCCCGCTTTTGCAACCTTAGCATTCGACTCCTTCGCACACGCTATACATAGGACGCTCCGTGTGTATGCACCCTGCCCCGCTGTGTGAGGTAAGGTTGGACGCGGGTTTGAACAGCCAGTCTCCTGTTAGATATTAGTTCTTCTTTCCGCCGTTGCTTTACTGGCTCCCTCTCAAAAAAACAATCGCCGTCTTGCCAATCAACTCTTCTGCGCCAGCTACAGTATCCTTCACGCTCCCCCATTCTCCCGCTCTTTCGAACGACGCCCCCTCACAAGGTCAACTCCAGCTCTGCTCCCCGCATTGTCTGACCTGCCCTGTCAGCAAGCACCACTGCATATCCTAACTGAGGACGGGTACACAAGGAGCACCCGCAGCCACCAACTCGACATCCAGTGCTCTTTTGGCCAACCTGAAAGTTCCAAGTTGCCTTCAGACGAGAAGATCCTCTTAAAGCATACTCAGGACCATCAGCCTTACGAATCTGTTGGTCGCCTCGCTAGTCCTTGTCTCGATTTTACGTTCGTCCGTATCATTTCTTCTGATCTTCAAAGCTTGCTGCAGATCCCTCGGGCCTTTCCGAAAAGAGCCTCTAACAAGCTCTTCGCTTCAATCAGCGTCTCAAACTTGGAATCTCTGGGCACCTCCTTTCTGCTGGTTCAGGTCCTTTTTTTAGCTTAGCTTCGACTTCTTCGAGGCCGTACACGCCATCTGATCGCCTTACAAATCCAAGCATAGAGCCAACCGAGTCTATCTTCAAACGATTTACAGGAGATCCAAGACCCCTCCAAAGTCCTCTTTCTGACACTGCTTTTGATTGTCATGCAATATCAATAAGCTATCTGATAGACATACTCCATACCTCATGCAAACCATTAATCCACGCCTCGGCCGGTCATTATCTGGTTACTCTAGCCCATATCGATCTTATAATCCGGCCGGGATCCAACACGCGCATATCAAGGGAACCCTTCCATCACCATCCCCAACTCCGCCATCTATAACAGCAAGACCAGTGTTGACCACTGCCAACCCTATGAACGCCGTACAATCCACCCACCAGTTCGCGGATGCAGCGACCGCTAGAATACAAGGTCTGCGAAGGTTCGTTGAAATATACAAAATTTTCTTTCCCCGGCTCTGCTAAGACTCTGCATTAGTGAACATTGCCAGCTGGTCATCAGGCAAAAGCCAGAAATTGCGAAAGTGGCCGTTGGCAAGGAAAAGGGTAATAAGCTTTTCTTTCACCAATCAAAAAGAGACGTTGAACTAAGAATAATAGACCGCAAGCCTGTCGACCCTCCTCCAATTATACAACTGAAGATTTCTTCCCAATCAGATCCTGCTCAAAATTACCTTCAAAGTATGACACTTCCATTGCTTAGTCCCAAAAAAAGAATCTTACTGACCACTTCCACTTAAAGGCCCATACTTTTTTATGTCATGTAGTCTCGTTGGCGCGCCGGAAAAAGGAGTGCCATCCGGACCTTTAGGAACTGCCTTAGCAGGAACTCTAGTGTCTTCACTTCACCGATTAAAAGACCAAAGCAACAATGATGGTGCATTCTTTGTTTTTGGGGATCTTTCAATAAAAATTGAGGGTACTTTCCGGCTTCAATTCAATTTATACGAGATGCGCGATAAGGAGTGCTTTCATATACAATCAACTCAATCGGAGCCTTTCATTGTTCATCCACAGAAAACGTTCCCTGGAATGGCTGAATCTACATTTCTTACAAGATCTTTTAGTGACCAGGGAGTTCGACTCAGGCTGAGAAAAGAGCCGCGGACGTTGGTCAAGAAACGAGGGCAAGGCTCTGATGAATACGAATCACGGTATCGCGCGTCGCAGCAAACCAACCGCCAACCAAGCTATACAATGGAACGAACAGGACCGGAGATTCAGGATCCGGCACGGCAAACCCAACCCGAACATGCAGAGCAGATGCAACTTCCGATACATCAAGGGCATCCGTATGAACAGCATCGTGTACCGCTAGGCCGCGGCTATTCTCACCACTCTCAGCCATCCTCAATATCTATGGGCTCTTACAGCGACGAAGCACCGAACAAGCGCCCTCGGACCGGCTCAGAGCACAGTTCCAATTACAGCCAGCAATTCAGTCCCCAGGAGCCGTTCGCTCCATCGAGGATATATGAGCAGCCAAACTATGGGAACACTTTCCCTCAACAACAGCAGGTGGGCGGATACGCGTACACATTTCAATCTCCAGTATCTTCAAGTATGTCCTCTCGTGATCTATACTTCTCACAGCGGCTCAACACTCAGGCAGGCAACTCCCCCTCCTTCGAGACCAATAGTCAGAGATCACCGAACTCTGCAAACTTCCCTCCACAGCAACCGCAAGCAATTCGCTACCAACAACCACCGCTACTATCGATATCGCCTACCCAAAGAGGGAACCAGAACTCTTCATTCGATCAGTATGCAATTAGCCCGAGAGCTCAAGTAGCTGCTGGTTTGCAACCAATTAGTATGGCCCCGCCTACATATTCAAGGATGAACACGAGCCCTACAGCGTACGGTCCTATATCCCCATTAACTTCGGTTGGAAGAAGAGATTATGGCTCAGGATCATATTCAAACCCGATGATGCCGGGATCGACGCTCGATTCAAATCTGATGACAAGTACAAGTCATATAGCTGCCACGAGTGCGCCTGTACAAGGGCAACTGCACATACAGACAACCAGGGGCCTGGAATCACCCCATTATTAATCTAACCTGGATACCTGTACGCCCTATCGGTTTGTAGTCTATAAGATATTTTTGTTGGATGGATTTATATAGGTGTGATCAGGAAATGTGGCGTTTTGATTTCTCTTTTTGAAAGCATATTTTGTCATGTTCAGCGGGTTTCTGGGACTTCGTGAGAAGGGGGATATGGAAAAGGGGTACGGCACACGCACATCTTATACCTTGCACTTTTTATTGCGAGAGGGGTCCCCTTTTGGTCAGAAGCATAGCACATGGCGAGGACGTTGTATACCAAATGGTGGCTGGGCACATATGTTGGGCTTGTTAGGTGTGCATTATACACACCTGCACTACACAGCGTGGGGCGTTGGGTTCCGGGGGGGCATTGCACGTTTACTACTACTACCCATTTTTTCTTTATTCTTATATCCTAATTTTGTTGTTTTCGATATTCTTCATTATGGCACCATCACATAGAAAACTCCACAGTTCATTCACAGGACGGTTTTATTTTTTCGGGGCTATATATACCAGTGGGACATATTGCGATTTTGTTTCCTTTTTTTTTATATCTATTCGAAAAATACCCGTGGCTGAAGGGAGGACAGCACAAGCGAGCCATATACGTTTTTTTTGGATTCTGTTTCAAAGAGGGGCGATTCATACCCGCAGGCTTCGATTAGGATTTTGGAAGCAACTGGGGTCCTGTTTTGGATGGAGGGAACACAAGATGAAGCAGTGGACTATTTACAAGGGTCGGACCAAGGGAGGTGACAAGATATACGTTCCTCGTTTTCGGGTTCAATTTTTATGGGACGACCGGGATATCTATACGAGGCTAGTTTCTCGATATCCTGCGTTCTTTAATGTTTGGACAACTACTTTGTCCAGTCTTATGATGGGCGATTGTTCGTTTTGTGGTTGCTTATTTCTGCCTTCTTCCTGTAGCTAGCCTTTTTTTTCTCTTGAACGGTTTTGTAGCTATACAATATATGACGCTTTAATTTTGTTGAGGATACTAAACTGGTTATGCCCTGGATTATATCTCCTTGTTTTCTGACATCCAGGTACTTTGGTTGTACTATGCAACCATAGCGAGTTTTCGCGAGTGTCGCCACAAGGAAGTTCCTTGTAAAGTGCAAGGCTTTTCATTCGTTAAAATTCTCCGACTAGCGAGGTCGCGAGGCGAGAAAAAGGGGGGATGGAGCAGATGAGGGATGGTAAAAGCGGCACCGAATACAATCATTGCACTAATACCTGGAACACATTTCCAGTTAAATTTCATTGTCCTGTTGAAAGTTATTCCAATGTTACCTCAAACCCGCATAGCAAGAACGTTGCTCTAGCTATCTTCCGCGAGGGAGTCAGGAAGCGATCTTCCTATCCGCCGCAGCACAAATCTTGTTCACCTTCATGATCAGAGTCCCGTCGATCGTTGCGGCGGTGCTTTGGGACGTGGTCCTGATCGATAGGTATCTGGAACCGGGGTTTTGGACCTTGTCGGAAAGGGAAGTTTGGTTGAGCCAAGGGGTCACTTTAGTGTATCCTCCCTAATGGGAGTTGTTCAAGGGTTCTTCTACGTTGGTAAGGATTGATCTCAGGGGTGTTGCACAGCCGGCATAGTGCAACGCCCCTTGGAAACCCTAGTTACTCTACACTCAATCTCCCCGGGCCAAAAGGGAGGGCTTCCCGTACCATACCATACCATAGAATGAAGACTTGCGGTTTTTGGCAGAATCGGCAATCGCATTGGGGATGCCCCGTAGGGGTTATTCCGTCTGCAGCGACGGTTGTCCGAGCGAAGTGCCCTTTTTACGAAGGCGATTCGTACTTCGTATGTTGGTCGGTACATGGGAGTAGATGTCAAACTTTCATGTCGCTAGGCAGCCATGTGGAAGCATGGGGTTCGCTTCCGTCCCACCAATTGCTTGTTGGCTTTTGGCGAGGTATCGAATTACAGGTCTCGCTGGGTATCTATTGAGCTTCCTTACTTTCTTGTACTTACAAGCAATGGATTTCTGTTTTGGGGTAGAATAAACGATTGTTGTGCAATGGGAAAGTGAAGTGATGCTTTTCATAGGCGGTGGGAAGCTAGCCTTGGCTTGAATCGGTTAAGGCAAGTCTAGTGAGCTAGTTTAGGATATATGCACAAAGGTTTTCATGTCGGTACAGTTGAAGGAGAATCATCGAAAATAAGCTGAGAAATGAGACTACTGAGAGGTCTTTCTAAAGTCAGGCTATACGTGAGTAGTTCTCAACACGCCATGCTCACATCACCCATCGTATCTGGAGGAAGTAAATCGTATGTACTGAAAATGCTTGTTTCTTGATCTTGCCAACAACGTGTTGCGGCTCCCACAGACAACAAAGTTTATTCGAGGCGCTGCAAAAGGGTTTGTTCCGCCTGGAACGAATACCTTAAACCAACCCCTTTTTTCATACTTGTACAAGTAGCACCGCCACGTGGGTAGAGGCAAAGACAAGTGTGTTGCAAAAATAGTGTGTGAGGTGGCGAAGGTTTTGCAGGGAGAGAGACACAAGGGCAACACACCGGGTAGAAATAAATTACACTTCAAAGTCCTAACGGAGAACAGGCAACAGATTTGAACCCCAGTGACTGCCAACGGAGTTAACGGAGGTAGTGATTTTTAGACTTTGCAAGAGCCCAACCCTGGTTCGCTGTTTACACCGTGGGATATGAACCGACAGAACAGAAAAACGAGAAACTTCTCGAAGGGCCAGGGGATCCCTGCCAAACCGCGAGTCATCTTGTGTGACACCAGTTCTCATTACGATAGACTTTGTGTTTGGGGTGTCTGTGGTGTGCCAATTCTTGTAGCGGTCGACGCCCTTGGCTGTGGTTCAATCCCATGCAACGATCCGTTTTTCACGGCAACTTGCCGGGCTGCGAAATATGGAGCCGCGTTGGGGTTCGCTTGGAACCCTAATCGCTCCCTGTGGCGGTCCCTCGAGTACCGTGACCGACACGGGACTTCTCAATGGGGGAAAAAATAAACTTTCGCTATTCGGGTGTCTCTCTAACCTGAGGTGGCAAAGACCCCGATGACCACCACCCCTGAAAAAAGAACAAATTTCTTAACTTCTAGAAGGAAGAACCTGTGCCCTGTGCTTGTTCCATATTGCACTGACAACTTAGCCCCCGCTGCAGTGCCAGCCCTGATTCAAACTCAAACATCTGATGCCCTCGACATTATCACCAATCCCCAAACTTATCACGGATACCCTCCAGATCAGGCAAGAACAGGAGAATTACGCGCACATAGCCACCTTTAAAGATTTCGGGAGAGAGAAATACCGTACTTTGTAGTTTCACATCTACCGGGAAATATTCTGCATGGAGTGCAAACTATCCATGTGCCATCTTGTTTGGGGATCTCCGTGATGAATGGGGGGTGGGGGTGTTCAAAACGCAGATAAACTATCTCCCTTGCTTATATTGAATGAAAGGTCAGAGTTGGTCAAAAGCCTAGAGCTAATTTACGCTTGTATTACATGGCAGATTAGGTCAAGTCCCAAGAGGCGGAAGCGGATGAGGAGCTTTGACACACATAATGCATCTAAGACATTAAATGCTTTTGTATGCTCAAGGTTGGAAGAGCGAGCAAAGAACAAGATACTGCGATGTGCAACAAACAGAACAGCAACCAAACCCAATGTGGGTAACCCTCAGGCCCTATAGCTAAGAGACTAAAAAAAATGGCAGTACAATATATTGGGTTGAAAGGGTATTGGGTACTGAAGGTCATGGAGAATTGATTGCATTGTAAAAGGTAGCTATCTAAGGTGTTTATATAAAGAGTGTAAGGTTTAGGCAGACATGAAGCATTTAGGCAGCAGAGCTATAAGTGGATCAAATAAGGAAGTGGAGCAAAAGAGAAAGTAGACCCAGCACAACACAATAGTATCTGATCTCAGAGCCAAGGCTGACTAATAGGAATGCTTACTTTTATGGAATCGAAATATGCTTCAATTGATACTAGGGAGTATAGTCTGTTAAGTACAACTTACTATAGTAGCTCGGAGTAGTTTTATAAGTTTTGAACATAGTATACTGTAAGATTACTAGTTGAGTGTGAAGCTTCATGAGCTCACTTGCAATGTAAAAAAATTCGAATAGTTAAGTTAAGCAGTAGTCCCTACTTAACTTATACTTGAGTACTTGGCGCCAAGTACTTATATAGTTATAAACTAATTAAATAAAAGCCAATGCTATTTCAAAGAAGAGGAATGAGCCCTTAAAAGAGAGTATTAAGGCAAGAACAAGCATGAAGATCTATAGGGTTATTTCATAGAGTAATATAAGAAACTGAGGTTAAGAGAGCCACTTGAGGACGATTGTTCTGTCCTTTAGTCACGTTAAAGTCACGTTTTTTAGTATGAGTTGTACTCAGGTACTACCTGAGTAGTCGTACCCATTACTTAATACTAACTAAGTAGTTTAATCTACGATTTACTTGTAACTCTACTTAAGTCGAGTACTACTTAAGTCTTGCACAAGATAATGATAATCCCTTTCGAATGCTGGAAAGCAGTACGGAATAAGGTGCTTTACAAGAAAAAAGACCCAAGTACTTAAGAATCAGTTCTGCTCTGGCATATGGTCGCGAGCTTTCTTACATAATGTATTACTACTTCTTCGTTACAGTAACCGCCTACACCCAAGTCCAATAACGGTCACAAATAAGCGAGACTCACATCCCCAATCTCTCTTCAAAAACAAGTTTGCAACACTGATCCACCGGCCGGCTAGAGATAATCTGGTCATCTAGTTCCATACTAGACTCCATATCTCTAGCAACAACAGTTCTGAACTTTGAATAAACATCCCTAAGCAAAATCTTCATTTCCGCCATCGCCAAACTGTCCCCAAATTAGCAACCACCCTAATGATCAAGATACCCCAAACCACGAACAGACAAAGAAATGAAAGACTTACTGCCTTCCCGTACACCCCCTAGCGCCCCTCCCAAAAGCCAAAAAACACCTCTCCATCTCCACCTTCCTCTCCTCATCCAACCACCGCTCCGGCACAAACCTTTCTCCATCCGGAAACACCTCCTCATTAAGTCGATGCGCACTCCAAGCCTGACAACTCACAATCGTGCCGCCAGGAATCTCATACCCGCCGAGAACCCGTCCTTCAGGCGGGACGAACCGTGGCATACTCATCGGGATAGGCGGCCACATTCTCAGGGATTCTTTGACGACCGCGTCGAGGTATGGCGAATCTTGACAGTCGGATTGGAGGTCGTGGTAGAGGCGATCTTGGATGGCGAGGTGGGTTGGAAGAGAGATGTGGTACATGAGGAAACAGAGGGCGTCGCCTGTGGTGTCTATTCCGGCTGCTAGGTGGTCCATGGATTCGGCGGCTACTTCTATATCATTCCACGACTGTTTACTGGTTTTTAGGGTGTGGAGAAGCGTATTTCCTTCTGGGTGGGTGGTTTTGCTGTGATTGAGCACGTAGTTGTTGGCTATTGGTGAGGGTCGAGCCTCGAATATTTTACTTAGGAGCCAGGAGTATTGAGGAAAGTAATACTGTGCGAGATTCTCTGAAGACTTGATTAGAATTATGGGGAGAGACGCTGAGACAATGATGAGGTGGAGAGATAACCTTTCAAGCTTTCGTGATAACTCAACTCCTCCATCATCACCCTGTCTTTTCCACCTTCAATGCTTTTCGTTCCTTCCTCGCCGAAGAGGAAGCGAGTGACACAATCTAAGGCATAACAGTGCAATAGCACCTATGACACTTCATCAGTGAGATTCTCCTCAAAGTCATTCCTCCCACCCAATTCCACTGCTTGAGACTTGAAATCTTCTTACATAAACATCAACTCTTCCCTTCACCTCCACACACTTCTTCAAAAAAGCTTCACTCCTTCCTTTGATCCCATCAATAATACTCGCGTTCAAAACGTTAGTATTAGAATACTGAGCAGCGAGACTTCGCTTCTTTTTCGCATGCTACATTCGAGAATCCCATCAGTCCAAACCGCACACCCTAATCCCCCCAACAAATCAAACCAGCAAGAGAACAAAACTCACCCCAACCCTCTCCAGCGTCGAGAACATAGTTCTAAATACCCAACCTTTAGCCGCGTCCTCAATCCAACACAAGACCTCAACAAACCTACCTAGTACCAAACTGCATAAACAAGCTATAAAACCCCGTCTTCTCAAATCCACTTCCCCCTTCCTCATAAATCGCTACACAACCACCAGCAAAAATCAACACCAAAAACCACTATTCAAAAAAAAGAGAACAAAAAGAGGGGAAAAAACAAACCTCTCCCCTCCTCACCCCCCAAAACCCCCACCTCCTGGGGCGCAAGCCTCACCACCCCCCCAAACTTCCCATGCAGCCCATGAATCCAGGTCCGCCGCCTCCCGCGAAACTCGTGGTACATAAGCGGCAAAGCAGTGAACCGCGTATACCAGGGTCCAGGAACCTTAGCAAGGGGCGAGAAGCAGGCAGTCCAGGCTTTTTTAAGCAGGAAGGGAAGGCATGTTAGGATGGCAAATAGGAGGTAGGATGCCATTTTGTGGTCTTGTGATGATGCGCAGATATGGGAGGGGAATGAGGAAAACCGTGGATGGAATGTAGAGTTGATGAGAGGGAATGGAGTAAGTTTAGGGTTGTGGTTTGTGGTTACTGGGCTAGGTAGGTTGTGTTGTGTTAGTCAAGTTCAAGTTCAAGCTCGTGGAAGATATCGATAAGCCTCCGAATCAGTAAGTGGGAGTGAGGTCCTCGTCTGACCAATAGGCGTTCAACTTGTCCCCACATTGGTACTCCGTTCTACGAGTCGCGCATACCTACCTATTCTTACCTATGACTTAGATAAATAGGAAAACCGAATCAGATAAGAAGAATGGGAATTCCAATCGTGGTAGATAGATCGGCTACTCCTAACGGCCTCCATGGTCGCAAAGCTATCTGAAAATTCTACTATGTATCCCAGCTATCCATACCAATGAGATCTTGGACCAGGGCTGTAAAAGAATGGAGTAGAGTATAAGTACTGTACCTACCTACTCTAACCTACTCAAAGCCTGTTACCCTACTCTACTCTACTCTACTCTACTCTACTCTCCCAGATAAAACAAAGTCCGTACACTCCAGCAGCCCACCCAAAACCAGCCCAAGTCCCCACCCTCCCGTCCAGACTCCCCTAATCACCCCATCCAACCCAACTCCTTAGATCTAGCTAAAAGCCATTCACAGTATATCAGCACAAGAATTCACAACATTCCACTCAAGTTACAAGTAATAATCTAACACAATCCCTCACCACCTTACAATTTTCACTTACCCAAACCACCTTACTACCTACCCCCCCATCATACCTCTCC